TAGTACGACATGCAGCATGGACGGTAAATCGCTACGTCATCCACTCAGACGGCTACACAAGAATTGAACGCCGCTGGGGAAGAAACTACGAGCGAGCAATCTGCGAATTTGGCGAGACACTACTTTACCTTCCGCCACAACACAAGAAACTTCCAAAAGCAGACCTACGGATTCAGAAATGCATCTGGTTCGGAAAAGTTTCCGAAACCGGAGAAAACTACGTCGCAACGGAATCAGGCGTACAAAACGTACGAACAGTACGGAGACTACAACCGGACTTCAAATACGACCTTGCACTGTTGAACAAAGTTTCCGGCGCAACATGGGCACCACGACGGAACACCTACAACCCACCGTTCGCAACACTGTTGGATACGCAACTACAACCGTCAGAGAAAAGAAGGTCCGCGCAAGATTTCGAACAACAGACGAACGCGACGGACAACATCGCTGCGGAACCCGAAACAAAACAACAGCGCACTACACCACCTCCACGACTTCTGTGTACATCGACGTCAAGTCCACGACCACAAACGGATAGTCCTATGGCTACTTCACCAACCGGACGACAACCTCCACCACTACCAGCACCACCTCGACAAGCACTAAGACGTTTAACTCCGGAAGAAGTAGTGCAACCAACCAAAGGACACTACAATCAGATCAACGGAGCAAGCATCTAAAGAACCACAACCACTACGACAGAAAATCAACGCAGTGACACTTCCCAACGGAATCCATCACTCCCTACACAAACGACGACACCTCAGAAGACCAACCCATAATCTTCGACAACGAAGGTTATGACGAAACACAACTACTGGAAGGAATGAAACACGAGTCAAACCAAATGAAACTACGCGACGTCTACGACGAAGTAGATGCGTCTACCCTCGATGACAACATCATAAAAGAAGCGATACCTACAAGATGGGTACACAGAAAGAAAGGGCCAGGAGTGCGAAGCCGAATCGTCGCAAAGGGCTACACGGAGAAGATCGAGGACGAAGACTCCGTCTACGCCTCTACACCAATGTTCACAACACTCCAGACACTTCTCGCACTACAAATGTCACGACCAAACTGGATCGCGCGACTAGGTGACGTCTCTACAGCATTTCTACACGCACCCATCGCAAAAGACCACGACGGTAAACAACGTGACGTCTACCTTTGGCCACCTAAAGAACTTTGTCCACAACAGGACAACATCTGGCGACTAAAGAAAGCCATGTATGGACTACGCAGTTCACCAAAAGCATGGCAGGACTACCTGGCTGAAGGGTTACAAATTCTCAGCTTTGTAAGACTAAAGTCAGAACCTAACGTCTACACCAATGCGACTCGCGACAATTACATCATGGTCTACGTGGACGATCTACTGGTACTTGGAGACAAGACTGCGGTCGACTCCACTTCGAGGCCGTCCAGAAGCAGGTCCTACTCAAGCGCATCGGCTACCTCGAACCTGGCAAACCCCAACAATTTCTTGGAAGAAACATCGACCACTTCGGCAACCACTGCAACCTTGGACTAAAGGACTCCTACATCGACAACATGATCCAGGAGTCTGGAATGACCAACTGCAACACCGTGACCACTCCAGGAATCGCCCACTACAAACCAACAATAGAGGATGAAGCACTTCTTGACCACGAACAACACAAAAGATACAGAAGGATTGTTGGCAAACTTCAATGGCTAGCACACACACGACCAGACATCGCACACTCTACAAAAGAATTGGCACGAGACCTCACAGCACCTACAGAACTTTCACAAAAGAGAGTCAAACATTTACTATGCTACTTGCACGGCGCCAAGCTCTACAAATTCACCATAGAACCAGCAACAACACTCAGAGCAAACACTAACAACATCCTGGATCTCGACGTTCATGTCGATGCCGACTGGGCAGGATGCCCCACTACCAGGAAATCAACTTCAGGTTTCAACATCATCTTTTTAGGAACAACAGTTGCATTTGGCAGCAGAACACAAGCTACAATAGCACTCAGCTCAGCAGAGTCTGAACTCTACGCCATTTGCACAGGAGTTAATGAGGGACTACACCTCAGAAACTTCCTACTTGAAACCAACATTTGCAGCAAGCTAAATCTACGCATCCACACAGACTCCACAGCAGGCAAGAGCATTGCTACACGACAAGGCACTAGCAAACGAGCAAAGCACATCGACCTCAAGTTTCTCTACACACAAGACCTCATCAAACACGACATCATCAGAATCCTTAAGATCAACACACTTCGCAACAGCGCAGATTTGCTTACCAAATACATCAGCAAAGAAACACTACACAGGCTCATCCAGAGCATTGGAATACGCATTTAGCACTACGAACGACCGGCGCAACAGTTTCACAACAACAACAACGACTTTGGACATTTCTTGTATGTAAATAGCTACGTGTAACACGACACCTTTGGTACGCAAGTAACAGTAACTACATGTATTTTCACTTGCACTTTTGGCGGCTGAGTCAACACTACAGTTGTTTGTTTTACATGTCTGCATGCGCCGCCTGCCTGATAGCTACTACTCAGGCTCATTTTGTTTTGCCCCGTTTCACTACATTTTGCATTCCACTGCAGCCATGGCCGCTCCATCTACTGCAGATGCTACGATGGGAGATGCGACTACGCCTGACAGGGCGACTACACCTGAGGTGGCGGTCACTACAGGCCCCAGTGACCAAGGAACTCCCCCCCCTCAGGCCTACAACGAGTCCAACTACCGCTTCAATCACTCCACGCCTGGCAACACGGCTTACTACAACCCGGCAACTGTCATGGATCAACTACACATCACGGAGTACCAGACAACCACTTCTCCACCACTGCCTGACAACACACCCCACACTCAGTTTTTCACTGCGCTTACACTGGAAGAGTATCAACCACTCTCACAACAACAAGCAACTCCACTTTCACAACTGGACTACACACGACCCATTCACTGCATCCCTGGAGACCTCCGGATGCCCCACTACAATTCCACACTGCTCAGCGTTTCACTGCCTGAAGCAGCCAACGTCCACTACTACCACACGACTTCACTCCACACTACGACTGGCAACAACACCAACTACGTCATCGTCCAACTACAGATTGGACAACAACTACTCCTGAGGTATCTCACTTCAGGACAATTTCTCCACTTCACCAGAGACTACATGATGTCAGTACAACAGAACTACTACCTCCCAACTACACAACATCCACAGACCATCTACAAGGTGGATTACGACATGACTACCTTCACCGACAACTACAGCCTGAGGAACAACTACATTTGGAACTATCACATGCCACTACTCCTACCGGAACTACTTCACTACCTCTACAACCGCGACCAACTCCACGACTTTCAACACAAGGCCATCACTACCATCCTCTGCAAAAGCATCCAGTACTATGGCTTTACACTACTCACCATGACCAACCTTACCCAACACCACAAGGCATTACTACATCGTTTCCTTACGGATTACGACCAACATATGTCGTGCCCTGAGATATACGATGAGAGACTACGAGGCGCTCCAAACTACATGACAACATGAATTCACCACCCACTACTACGCGACCTTGGACAGTCGACTACAGATGGTTCAAGCCTACCGCGCCCAGAACTGGGCATTACATGCTTCTACTACAATGAGTAACTGCCTTACGAATTCCATCCAGCGCCACTACATCGAGCTGGAACATGAACAGCGCGAACTACTGAGTGCAGGTTACTACCTTTTGCCACTACAGTAGAATTGATGAACAACAATGGTTTTCATCACTACTGTCAATCCACGTTTCGCACTTCAGTTGAAAAGGTGCTACAAAGACCTTTTAACTGAGGGGCCGTGTCAAACTACATGCTTCACTTCCTGCATTTGTGTTGCATGTATGTTCACTACTGCAGGCCTTGAGCTCACTACATCGCATGAGTCAAAAGGTCACTACAGCACTTGCACTTGTAAGTCAAAGTAGCAACCGATTTTAACGAGAAAGAGAGAGAGAGAGAGAGAGAGAGAGAGAGAGAGAGAGCGAGCGAGAGAGAGAGAGAGAGAGAGAAGGAAAGAAAACAGAGAGGGAGAGAGAGAGAGAAAGAAAGAGGGAGAGGGAGAGGAAGAAGGAGAAAAAGACAGAGAAAGAGAAAGAGACGGAGAGGGAGAAGCGAGACGGAGAGGGAGATGGAGAGGGAGAAAAAAGAAGAAAGAGTGAAAGAGAGAGAGAGAGAGAGGTGAAAGAAGAGATACAGGAGAGAAGAGAGAGAGGAGAGAGAAGAGAAGCAAGAGGGAGAAGAGAGAGAAGAAAGAGAGAAGAGAGCGAAGAGGGAGGAAAGAGTGGCGAAAAAGGGGAGAGAGAGAGAGAGAGAGAGAGAAACAGGGAAAGAAAGAGAAAGAAAGGGAAGGAGAGAGAGAGAGAGAGAGAGAGAGAATGAGAGAAAGAGAAGAGACAGAGAGAGAGAGAGAATAGGAGAGAGAAGAGAGAAGAGAGAGAAGAGTAAGAGACAGGGACAGAGAGAGAGAGAGAGAGAGAGAGAGAGAGAGAGCGAGAGAGGAAGCTCTCTTCTCTTCTCTTGTCTTCTCGCTTTCTCTTTTCTTTTTCTCTCTCTCCTTCCCTTTCTTCTTTTTTTCTTGTCTCTTCTGTCTTCTCTCTTCTTTCTTATTTCTTCGTGTTTTGTTTCTTCGCTTCTTTTCTCTTTCTCTTTTCTTTCTCTCTCTTTCTCTTTCCTGCTTTTTTAAACCCTTTCTTGTACCTCTCTCTTATCTTCTTTTCTTTTCTCTTTTCTTCTTTTCTCTTCTCGTCTTCTCTTTTCCTCTTCTCTTCTCTCTTCTTCTTTCTCTTTGTCCTTCTCTCTTTTTCTCTGTCTCTCTCTCTCTCTGTCTCCCCTCTTCTCTTCTGTCTTTTCTCCTATCTTTTCTCTCTTCTTTTTTCTTTGTATTTTTCCTTTTTGTTTCTTCTCCACGCATTGCGCCGCAGGCCTCAATGCCGAGTACTTCATTTTAGTGTTTGTGCTTGCCTGACTCTTAGTGCGCTCTGATGGAGGGTCTGGCAAGGAATTGGATGAGCCACACCCGCGCCGAGGTTGTGATTGCGTTCGGCTTTCTGGTGGCGCTCCTTGGGTTGCTCTGGCCTGTCAGGGCATTCCCAGACGGTTTGCAGATGCAAGCCGTTGAACGGCAGGCTGAAAGCGGTTTCGCCGCAAGAGCCGTGGCCTGAGAGCTTCAATGACAAAGACAGGAAGTTGCAAGTCCAAATGGCCCAAACGTTCTGATAACTCCGCAACATGCTAAGTGCCACACGCGCGTTGGTCAGTGAGAACGACAGATAGCTGGAAGAACTCGCGCAGGTCAGCGCCAGACGGCTCATGAATCACCTGGCGCATGTAAAAGAGGCTGCTCAGGAAGTTTTGGTGCGCTTTGCACATGTTGGAAAGGGATGCCCCCAAGTCCTCAAAAGATTGACATTCGTGTCCATTTCTTTGTGAAAGGCCAGGGGTGGCAAAGGTGCCGCGCGTGCTGTGTCGGAGCGGAGAGCCATGTAGAGCAGGAGAGCCCCCTCCCCCCCGGCCCCGCACCCCCTGTGTTTGTTCACTGGACGCATTGATCTCCATGCAACACGTTACCATTTTTGCTCAAGGCCTTTCATGTCACACCTCAGATGTACATAGCTCACTGAGCCATTGCATCCGTGATGCAACGGTGCTGGCGGACCACTTTCAGGATAAACCACAACACACTGTTACACTGTTTCCCAGGGCTTATCCAGTGTCAATCCATCAGTATTGGCACTTGGAACTCTCCGGAATCGATCCAGGGCCACCGCATAAAGATCCTCTACCACAAGGTATCGGTTCCCTTCGGGGATAAGATGCCCCTGGCAGCGGGCCTCAATATTTGTGGTAGCGGAGCGGGTTTTTTTGCAAGAGATCCAAACAAGATGTCGCGCGATGGAGAAGGCTTCATGGAAGCCTATTCAAGTGCAGGCCGATCCCATGGCTTCACTGAAGAGACGCTCAACTTCTCAGTGACCGCCAATCCAGAATGACCTTTTGCAAGATCCTGAAGAAGGAGTCAACTATTTCAAGAACACACTTATACAGACTTCTCAGTTTCCTTCAATCACAGAAGGCAGAACACCGAGTTCCTCATATTCACGTCAAGTGTTGAAATTCTTCTGATGAGATTGAAGGAAGCCTGGATGGGCTTGATGCCTGTTCACACAGCACAGTCACCAGAGTTCATAGCACCAGTACAAGACGCCAACGCAAGAAGAATGGCCGCGCATCAGCAAGCCGCCGGTGTCAGAGCCACGCCTCCAGATCTGCTGTCCATAGACAATCCAGAAGTGCTCAGGCAGTACCTCACTGGCACGCAAGACACAAGGACGCAATTCCCCTCAGCGACAATCTCATTGCGCAATTTTTCATCATCCAGAGTGGGTTGTCAGATCAGCAAAGAGAAAGACTGATCAGTGCAATGTCTTTGAGAAACATCTTGCTCGAGAATTACACCTACGAGGTGATGAAGACTCAGTACCACGATCTCTTCGTTACAACGAGAACATCGATAACCCTTGTTTCCATCATAGGGATGCTGGAATTTCGATTTCCTTTCTTCCCCTTCTTCCCTTTGCCTTTTCCCCAATATGCCTGGTCGTAGGGATCCTCATTTTCGTTGGCCATATTGGCCTTCCCGCCGGAACCACTTTTTCTGAAAGGATTGAAGCCACCTCGTTCGTGACTCCCGCTTTTGCTTCCTGATTTTCCTTTTCCTTTTCTCTTCTTGAATCTGAAATTTCGCCCATACACCTTTCTTGCAAGAGAACGCATCATTCTCCTCCAAAACCCAGAAAGGCTCTTCATCAGTATTCGCCACGAATCCTTCAGCTCCATCTTCGTCTTCCACCCAGAAACCTTCTTCGCCTTCATACCCCCCTTGCTCTAGGATGTAGAAGGTGTTGCAAAGGAAAAGTCGGACATGACAAAGGAAAACCCAAAACGTTCGCAGGAGGAGCAGTCCGCCAAGCAGCAGATTGCGCCATCTGCAGAGCCTACCCACGCTGGTTGGACACACCAAGATTTGGATCCATCATGGAGTTGGAGTGAATCAAGCTGGTATTCATCCCATGAGACATCAAGCACAGGACACGCATGAATGGCGTTCCACGACGCTTTTCAGCAGCATGAGAAAGAGGCCATCCACGAGAAGCTGATCCAAGACAATACAGTTCCAGAACACAATCCGTCCGTCAAAACAAAGCAAAGCCTTTTGGCAACAAAGCTGATGGCACCTGTCATCAACCCACAGCACAATCCGACCTATGCGATTGAGGACAACAGATGTACCAGATCCATGGGCAGCTGTCATGCAATCCAGCGTTTTACTCAGGCCATCGAACCCATGAAAGACCTCATCTCCTACCAGTGCATTCCGGCCGAGACCAAGTTCAGATTTGCCAGCGGAGAGACAGCTAAGGTCAATTGGGCCTTGCCTCTCAAATGCAAACATTGACATCCTTGAACAAGGCACTGTGCCGATTTTTTCAGCATCAGACGGAACCTCTACATGACCATTGAGCAATCGTCTAACGATTCCAGTATCCGGCGCAGGACATGCACTGGTCGACCTTGCTGGAGTGGCAAGAGTGAAATCACATGGAGAACTTGCTGCAAAAGCCCCACACAACTTATGTCTACGATGATGACAACAGCATCAAGTTGCCTTCCAAGGATTCCTCCAAGAAAGAAACTGTTTGTACGCCTCGCAAGGCACTGTTCGCACCAACAGGAGTGAGGGAATGTCCAACCAATCCTGACAACAACGTACAACAGAGATCATCGATGTCCAAGGGCGGAGATCCAGACATCCTAGACGACAATTGGAGACTTACATCCCAGGCGAACAAACCAATGATCACAACATGTGGATAGGTATGACCATTTTCACCTTCGCAGACAATCCGCTAAAAGATGAAGAATCAAATTTCAGGGTCTGCAGCAGACAGTTTCATCGACTAGAAACCGGTCGCAGACGAACCGACATCGTTACCGCTTGCCTTAGGCAGAATCCGTCAGCGATTGTCCAAGCCAGAAGATTTGAAGACGTTGCACCTCCAGCATCATCACATGAATGCTTTTGATTCAAAACCTGCGCTCTTCACTTGCCGAAATCTACCTATGACTTATTTGACAAAATCCGAAGTGAGTGCGAAGTTTGCCAAGCAGCAAAACATGCACCATCCACAAGCAAAACTCGCGGACGTCGAGCGGACACATTTGGAGACATGACATTCATTGATCACTGCCCAGTTCCCCTCGGAACCGGAGAACATATCATGTTTTTGTCATCCTGGATGGAGCGCTCACTGCAGAGGCAGTGACAACCACGCGAGAAGTGGAGAACATCACTGTTCTCAGGAACTATTTTGACCAGTACCACTTGCAGCCTAAATCAGTTGTTGGAGATCAAGCCTTCACGACGGAAACATGGGAACATTTCTACAAACCCCTCAATATCAGACCGATATCGGTGGGACCAAACCATGGCCGAATCAACCTCAAGCAGCAGCTCCACTCCTGAAGGCACAGTTGAAGACCATGCTCACCTCCATCAAGGCAGGCACGGCGCCTGCAACCTTGAAGAAGGCAACATACTGACAACTTGTGAAGGCAGCTGCAGCTGTCAGAAATCAGACCGTCACCTACGGGGGTGAAACACCTTTGGAACTTGCATTCGGACGACGACCAGCAGATCTCATCCAGCTTGATGTCACAACTCCAACTCAATTGACGATTGACAGGAACGAGGAAGAGTTGACAGCTGTCAAAACAAGCATTCCAAGAAGCTCGTCAACCCGAAGACATCCGCAGAGACCTTGCTCAGAATTTATGAATGAGTTCAAAGCCTCTACAGGCGAGTGACAAGGTATTTTACTGGCAGGAAGACAAATCCAAGGTTCGTTCCGTCGGAAGCAAAGGAGGAATACGGTTAAGAGGAAAAGTCATTTCTTTGGAAGGAGCAATGGTTGGACTTGACCTTGGAACCCGCCTCATCAAGGTCAGCGTGACGAAGTTCAGGAAGGATGAGACAATCCCTCCGGAGAAGCCCGGAATTGATTTTTGTTGCCAGACGAGCAATAAACCTTGCAGAAGGAACAAAGTGGTTCCTCATCCGATTCCAAAAAAGAAAGTGTCATTCACACCAAATGCTAAGCCTTCAACCTCCAAGCCATTACGCGTTGCTGGAAAGACAACTCCCAAGCACGCAGCACCAAGACCTGCAGAGAACATGTTCGTGGAAGATATGACATCCATGCCTGAAGAAGCACGCTGGAACTGTGTACGAAAATGAAAGATTCACGTTCTCGAGATCTTTGCAGGAAGTGCCAGATTCAGTCAATGCTGTGCGCTCACAGGTCTAAAGGATAGGACACCAATAAGCATCCGCATGGGATTTGACGTAATGACATCCAAAGGACGAGCCATGGTCATGGAGATCATCAGGGAACAAGCGCCCGATCGAATCCTCATGGCACCAGTTTGTGGACCATGGTCAAACATGCAGAACATCCAACAAGACCAACAGAAGGTCTGGGAGAAGCGAAAGCGCTCATGCCAATGCTTGAATTCGTGGCATCCATTGCGCGCTCAGTTGAAGCACAAAAGATATTTCATCGTCGAAACCCTCAGACATCCAGGATGTGGTACGTTCACTGCACGCAGCAACTTTTTTCAGACCCGTCAGTGACCTGGGAAAATCTTCATTTCTATCCGGACTCAGATGTCTTAAGCCTACGGGCTGAATGCACTGCTTACTTCCCAAGGTAATGAGACCGATTCTTTGGAAGTGTAAGAATGTTACCAGGTCGGTAAAGCATCAGCATCAGCACCTTGAAGGAAAAGCTGGCACTTCGGAAGCAGAACAAAGCTGGCGCACCTTCTACAACGGTTTCCTACTATTTTTAAGGTATTTGAAAACACCTGGGTTTGTGAAAAAAATGTTTTTCCCCAACAGCTGAAACGGGGTGGTCCGGGGCGGCCCTGAGGCAAGGTTCCACGAGGGTTCCACGAGAGGTTCCAGGGTTCCACCAGGTTCTGCGAGGGCTGAGGGTTCCACCAGGTTGTGCAAGGGCTGCGGGGTGGTCCGGGGTGGTTTGCGCTCGGGCCCCGATCGGGCCCCTTGAGCCCCCTTTGCACCGTCGGGCCCGCTCGGGCCCCTTAATTGCACCATTGCGCCCCGATCGGGCTCGGGCCCCGATCGCGCCTGTCGGGCCCCGATCGGGCCCCGTCGGGACCCCCGAGCCGTCGGGCCCCGATCAGCCTTGCTTTATAAAGTTACAAGGCGGCATCCTCAGCAAGACCGGCAGTGAGGGCGTTCCGCGAGGATTCTGGGAGGGTGTGGTGTTGTTGGGGATATCGCCTGAGCTTATTTTGACAAATGTGGGTTGAAGAAACTACACGACGCCTGCTGCGTACAACACTGCGCGTGTGACACTGCGAGAGGGGGGGCGCACATCCATTGCCGAGCAAAAAGCGACGTGTCGCAAGAAAACGCGCAGGACGCGGGCGAATTCG